TAGTACATGTTACGTTTAACTTTTATACTTACAGACATATGTTCTTTAGGGACTGTTAAAAGATCAGAAAGAAATCGTCTGCTTGCAGTTGAACTAACTTCTAGAACTTCCCGTTTACAAGCCAACTACGGAAACCCAAATAAGACACCATAAAAAACTCAATCCCTTATTATGAGTGACAGCACAGTGTGTGTGTATGTATATATATAAAAAGTTTCCCCACTCGCCCCCCACTTTGGGGCGGTCTTGTATTCCTTCCTTCAACCTCTGGTCCTCTACTAGAGGCCTGGGAGCTTGAGGGTCCTGCGCAGTATCTTAGCTGATCCTAGGACTGCACTCTTCTGGACAGAGATCTCAGATGGGATCTCACGTGCGAGAAAACAAGGAAAAACAACAAGCACAGGAGAGTGATTCGCGCTCTCTTGTGTTTGTTGTTTTTCTTTGTTTTCTCGGTCTCTTGCAACCCATCCCAGATTACTTTCACCAGAGAAGAACTGTTAAACATTGGACAACTCACACCAAACTACCTTTCTCCAATTTTTGTGAATGAAGAATGCTGTGTGGACATTATGATTGAAGGCGCAACTGCCATATACGGGACCTGGAAGAAATGCCAGAGTGGTAAGTGGGTGGGCGTATTAGTCAGTCTACGCCAAAAAGGGACCCGGACTCCACTCCCGTCTATCCATCTAGCGAAGCTCGGCTCCTTAGCCAACAAGATGGATGAACTCCTTCTCGTCTACAGGACTAACTCTGACTTTGCACGCTCTGCTGCTTTATGCTTTACGGCGACTTGGCTCAGCGATTCCATCACGGACATCGCAATCCAGCGCCAAGAGATTAGCTCTTGGGCTAACATACACAGCAGCCAGAAACCTAGCACTATTCTCTGTGGCTAGATAATAGGACCGGCATTTCAGCAATAACAACTCCACTTCTGGCGAACGGTGCTGAGATATAATATAATTTGAGCACAGCATTCTCTGATTTCCCATTGTGCTGTAATCCTAGCTCTTAGCTCGTCCAATTTGTTTTCCAGAGACTGTACATTAGCTAGGAAGAGGCTCGGTAGTGGCGGTCGGGTATCACAAGCTTTTAGCCTAGCATGGAGCCCTCCTCTCTTGCCCCGTTTGCGTCTCCGGGTCACTCTCCTGATTTCAGCCTGCTCTCTCATGCCTGGTACACACACACACACACACACAGTACACATGTACACCACACAACAATGGCCGGGCAGCCATGTGTTTGTGTAATTTAGGGTTCAGTAATAGTAAGTCATTAAACTCTTAACCTCTGTGATTAAACTACTGATTGAGCGGCAGAACATCTGCACAGCTGAACCTATGTGTGTGTATGGGTGAGTGTTTTGAGACCTGCTGTACCACAGCTCTAAGCTATTTACTGAGAGAAACAGAATTTATCTACTGGCACTAAGGCAGGAAACAGGTCTCTGTGAGCCTGTGTGTTTGTGCATTTATGTTTAAAAACATGGATTTTACTTATATATTAATAATCACAAGCTATTTTTGGATGATACTTTCATTTTTCATTTCCTCAAATCATTCTTGGTATATATCATGAAGCAAAAATTTGCCTAAGGGCTAAAGTAAAAGGTTTTTTTGTTCTGTTTTGTTCATGTTTTGACAGTGGCCTCAATAAAATATTTTTAAATGAAGTTTCAGTGAGGGCTTTAGAGCCACAGGGAGATAAAAGAGCAACAGACAGATAAAGAGAAAATGTGAAAAAGAGATATTTTAAGGTTGTTTTTAATGGCATATGCCCAAATAAAATATTTTCGTTCACACAGGCAGTGGTAGCCCCAATCATTAGAAAAACCTGCTAAACACACAAAGTGACACACACACAAACACACACACAAGGTTCCTGATAATCCTTCATCCAACAGGAAAAAACAGCGCTGAGTAAATCAAATAGTGTCTGGCCCAAATGCAGAGAAAGACAGAAAACATGCTGAAGCTACACTATGTTGAAAACAGCAGTGTGTGTGTGTGTGTGTGTGTGTGTGTGTGTGAGTGTGTACGTACACGTCTCTATAAGTATTATATTTTTATCTCATTCCCTATTACACATTCGATTGTTTGCAAAGTACTTCTTTACTTTGTTCTCTCAGCCTTATATTTACTTGCCCTCTGCTACTGCTGTACACAAGGATATGTACATAAACATTGAGAGCCGCTGTACCAGAGTCAATTCCTCGTGTGTCCAACTCACCTGGCCAATAAAGCTGATTCTGATGATTGTGTGTGAGGTTCTATGTGTCTCTGTGCATGTGTACATACAGTATGTGTGTAGCTGGCATCGTATGTGGGCTTTTGCTTAAAGTTTTGAGTTTTAAAATGAGTCCTGAAATATTTCCTTTATGCCTGCCCTCTGTAAAGCACTTTATATAGCACTTCTCAGATTTTGTGATTATAAACTTTATTATATTGTTAGTTTTATTATCATGTGACCAGTGAATTAGTACTTTTACTCACCTCTGCTCTGTTGTCCAGCAGTAGCTGAAAGCCCTCTGCTTTTAATTTTGCATCTCCTGTGTGAAGGATGTCACTCTGAGCCAGGAGGAGAGCCAGCTCCCCGCAGGGGACTTCAGTCACCAGCCTCCCCTCATCATCTTCCTCCTCCAGTCCTCCGTCGTCCTCCACCTCCTGTTCCTGAGAGTTTTCCTGGCAGAGGGTGAGCACTGTGGCACAGCTCCTATCTTCTTCTTCCTCCTCAGATTCCTGTTCAGGATCCTGCCTGCCCTCCTCTCTATCTGTGTCGCGGTCTGTGTAGTCTGAGTCAGCATAGGCTGTTGAGTACCTAGAACATATCAAAATCAAATCAAATCAAATTTTATTTGTATAGCGCCAAATCAGTCATCTCAGGACACTTTACAAAGTAAGGTCTAGACCTTACTGTTATCAATATTATTACAAAGGGAAAACCCAACAAATCCCCCTTGAGCAAGCACTTGGCGACAGTGGGGAGGAAAAACTCCCTTGTGGAGGATCATCTGTTATTTATTTTTTTATGGTGAAAATGATGCCATTGTAGTCAAGAAACCACACCTGGAATTTCATACTAAAATATCTTCATTTATTTAAATGGCTAATTCATCTAAATTGCAAAAACCATGTGCGAATTTTTCTTTTTTCTCTACCTTGTCTCGAGAAATCAAAGAACTGTGGCACACAAAAAAAAAAAGCCTCCCCACCCCTCCAGCCGCCCTCTACCCGTAGCAATTTCTCGGCCTGTAATAATATGATAAGCCTTTAAACAGTGTTGGACAAGTTCACACTTAACAAGAGCTACTTTAAAGTTCACTTCACATGCATTACAATGATACAGTTCACATTCATCTTTAACAATTTTTAATTTAGAACCAAGTTCACCGCCGCCAAAAATGATCACGTTAATTTGTTCAGTTTTTATTTTTTAAATGATCTGCTGTGAACAGTACAAAACATTTTTAATACAACTTCCTCCTACCCATCCATCCCCAGTCCCCAGTCACTGCCAGTGGTATACTTTTACATTCATAAGTTCAGTGGTGGAAACTACAGTGGGTACGGAAAGTATTCAGACCCCCTTAAATTTTTCACTCTGTTATATTGCAGCCATATGCTAAAATCATTTACAGTGCCTTGCGAAAGTATTCGGCCCCCTTGAACTTTGCGACCTTTTGCCACATTTCAGGCTTCAAACATAAAGATATAAAACTGTAATTTTTTGTGAAGAATCAACAACAAGTGGGACACAATCATGAAGTGGAACGAAATTTATTGGATATTTCAAACTTTTTTAACAAATAAAAAAACTGAAAAATTGGGCGTGCAAAATTATTCAGCCCC